AGATTTAAATATTAGCCATTATGGAATGCAGTTGGAAACCACTCACCTTTAAACTAATATAACCTCTAAGCAAAAAAACCAGAACTGCTGTGGTGGCCACACATACTTATCTAAATGTTCTGATTGGTCACGTAATATACCTGTTCACATTTAACCTTAAAAAAAAAAAAGAGAAGAGCCATCTGCATCCTCTCCAGTGAACCAGACTCCAGAGAATATTGGCTTCCCTACCGAAGCCTAGGTACTCAGCTGGTTTTTGCTTCAGTGCAAACAGTATTATGCATCCTGCGTATGAGGAGTTCGTCGGCTTTGCAGGTGGGTTGTGTCTATAAAAGCTGTATTTCCAGACAGACTAATAGCTCATGAATAATTTTGTATTTGAAGGTCTGTTGCTTGGATAATGAATATTCTTCTCAGATGTAGCTGCATTGGCATGAATATGAGATTTCTGCTTCTACTTCACTTGATTCTGCTTGTTTCCTGGTTGAAATCAAGACAAATTAATTCTTGGTTTTGCCTCATCCATTTTTGTAGGAGTGCACTGTACATGCATCAAACCTGTGTAAGTAAGTAGGTGCCTGAAGAGATGATATTCTAGATGGTTTCATGTAATTACAAAATTAAACAGTTAGTGTGCACTAGGATTCTTTATACTACTCATTTAAACCACAAAAATGGAAGTGCTGGTATTTGCTTAAATACTTATGCAAGATTTAAAAGGGAAAAGGGGAAAAAGAGGAAAGATATGAGATATGAGACAGAGAAGCTGAGCGTTACGATAGAAATGTTCAAAAAAATAAAACCATAGCTACAATGGGTAGCTACATACAATTGTTTCATAGGGAGATTTTTTCAAAGAATATCATGAGAAAAGTAAATGAGAAATGAAATACAGGAAATTCTAGTTGGAGATGAAAAAGGAAAAAAAAAAAATCACACAGTGAAGGTGACTGAATACTGGAGGCTGTTGCCCAGAGGTGTCATGGCATGTCCTTGAGGATGGTGAAAACCCGACTGGGCACAGCCCTGAGCAGCCTGCGGTAGCTGAACCTGCATCCAGCAAGGCACTGGACTAGGTAATCTACAGAGGTGTAAAATTGAAAGCCAGGTTTAAATGACATTGAATTAAAGTCTTCAATACAAATAAGAAAGAAAAAGATACGATGAAGGTTCCCTCACTTTGGAAAACAATCTCTTCTGTTCTCATACGGTGTAATATAAACTCTACCGTCATGACTGTAAAGAATTTGATGATACTTTTGATGGTAGCTCTAATACCTAAGCTATGATAGCTCCATAATATGTAGGAGGCTTTGAAAGGCACACATTATTTAAGAATCTAATGCAATCCAACTAAACGCTCCATTTATTCCCTGTATAAGGCAATGAATTTTCTTCACAGCATGTGTTACCATGGGTTTTCTGTCTGTGAAAATACACCTTCTGCCCTGTCCTGCTGCATTAAAAACAAAACACAAACTGGGGAGACAGCATTGAACTAAATATCACAGACTATTTTCATGGCTATCCAAGAATTCGAATTTTTCACCATTTTTTTGATAAAAGTAAGTGCTACTTCAGAAAGTTTATAACTTGTGCAGTTTTGAGAAAATGGCCACTCCTTCCTGGAACCCTCTTTCCTCTTAAAAAATACTTACGCCCAACCACACTGAAAATGTAAATGTTCAGTCTTTTGAAATGGCACCTTAAACAACTCCCATAGCAGAGAAAAAATAAACTCAACCTGGTATGTTTTTCCTATTGCTTATATATATGTACCTCATTCATTTTATACCCTTTTAAAACAAATAAAGGAAAACTCCAAACTTGTACATCAGTTACCAGTTACAGAGAAGTCAAAAGTTTTTGTTGTTCACCTGTTGAGGCTATGTGGAAATACTGATCTGGAATATTAATTAATCAGTAACAGGAAAACACTGACATAATTAGCAGCACAAAAGCTGTTGTTTAAAAACAATCAACATACTGAAATGTTTGTTACATTGTTCACGTTGATTCATTTGGGGCTACCAGCTAATAGCAATGCTATTTCTGCAACACTGCACCATCTGCTGCTTTTAGAAAGATCACTGCTTTTAAGAAATGTACAGCATAAGCTATTGTTGAAAAGAACACGCAGACTCTAGTAATGGAATAGCCAGTTAGTCTTGCTGAATACGTATAGTCTGTCGATTGTAAATGTTGAATTTGGCACTTGGATTCGCCAGTAATCTTGTCAATTTAGTAGAACTCAGGAAGTTTGCCTGCTTTGTGTTTCTTTGGCAAAAAGGGAAAAACATCACTTAAACCAAGGAGCACTCCTGTTGCAGCAGGATACAGAGCACGGCTGCGGGTTTTGAACAAACTGCAGGACCATCTGCAGAAGTGGAGTGTGCCGAGTGCTTCTGTGCATGTGGATTTTACCTTGAAGCACAGGTGAATTTATGAAAAATGGTGAAAATAGGAATGCAAGTATCAGGTCACACACAGTGCGGAAAAAGAGCAAACACATGGCAGATGTCACATGAGGAAATGAAAGCACATTTAACATACAATTATTTGGGGGAATAGATAAACAAGGAAAACTGATTTCCATGGTTTTACACGCAAAGAAATTTCTTTCTTATGGCTCCAACCATACACAAGAGTAAACCTAAAACATTTTAGCAAGAGATGTGTATTTGTATATATACAGTATGTATGCACTGACAAATGAGAATTCTTTTCGTGGTTAAGATAGCATAAACCAAGAGTAATTTGGAAGCCTGGGTTAATGCTGTTAACAGAATCCAGGATTTCTTCCACAGATTGCACCTGTAGTAAAGCATCTGTACTTCACTGCGACCAATGAATGAGAGAGAACATTCACACACACCCAAGTGAAGTGCTTTTGTTCATAGTAGGCAGAATTAAAGACAAACCTTCATAACCACTTACTTTACTTTCTCCGGTAAGCCTTAAAGGGTGTGCAAACTTTGTGAATTAAAGTGAATTATGCCTATCAGGAGGACCAAAAAGCATCATTTCTAGACTCTGCTAAAATCCATCAATGTGTGCATGGAGAAGAAAGTCAATATTCTACTGTGTATAACACCTCAGTGAAAACCACATCAGCTTTATTATTCTCCCTCAAACTATAGATACAATCCTATAGATGCTATGATGAAATCTATAGATACAATCCTATAGATGCTCTGATGAAATGGTCTGCCAGCCAGAGCCTTCTGTTTCTGATGTGCAACAGGAAGGTAAATATATAGACATGGCAAAGTGCTGCTTAACCTATGTCGCTATTGCCTTAAAAAGCTGCATTCATTTCAGCGGGTAATTCTCAAGTTAGTTTGCTCTCCCTACTGTAGGAAGTTCCATGTGTTGACAGTACTTGATATGGTGGGTTTTTTTTAACAAAAAAGTCTGTATTTTCACAAAGGCAATACTGCATACTATGCTCTCTCTTTGGCCATTAGTAATTCAAACTAACACTAATGTAGTGCTGTTGTGAGTGGGAAATTACAGAGATGGCATATGGACGTGCAGTGCTTCAGCGTAATGTAATGACCCAGTGGTCTGTTCGTTTCCAATTGCCACACAAAAATAAGGAATAAGGTAACCTTCAGCCATTCTATGGATTACAGTTAAAGAGAGTTTAATGTCTTAACTGCTAAACATTTTTTTACATGCCATTTGAAAATAAATAGCTGGGAAAGAGCATTTGATAAAAAGAGATGTTTTATATATTCTGCTAGTCATGCTGTTTATACTAGTGTTTGAGCAATAAACAATGTCACTCTGTAGAACCCTAATAATGCTTGGTTTCCATTTTTTTCAAATGTCTTAGTTGCATATGTTTTATATAAAGGTTACTTTAGTTCATTCAATATATATTTGGAGCTTCAGGTTCTGTCATGTAAATATGTATTAGTAGGATGCTTCTAGTATAGCATCTTAGATGTAGCACAGTATTTCCTTTTATTCCCTTTTTCAGAGTACAGTTCCTGAAGACAAACATATTTAAACCTGTGGTCCATGTTTGTGCTTGAAAAAGAAACACCTGGAAACCCCATTTTCTAGATATGACAACGAGCTAAAAATGGCCTTCCCATCTAGCTTGGTTTTATATATGAACTAGATAGGAAAAATTGCTAAGGAGGGAAAGATTATAAACTCCATAATATTTATTAAAAACTTTGCAATTTGCACAGGGTATCATCTGCAAATACAAAATAAATAGGATTTTAAACAGGATTCTGTTACTGAATACCAACTTAAATAAGGCTTTTAATGAATGGCAATGACAGGGAATGCATTGAGCCAACCACTTGGTAATTCTCAACAGTCTTACAAAAGTAAAGATGATGAGTGTCACAAAAAGTACTGTGGTAGTTCCTGTTACTGTTTTCTTCAGGTAAGAGCAAAAGTGCTGTGCTCAACGCAGTATTTTCAGAGGTGGAACAGATGACGGACCCAAGTGGAATTTTACGTTCTTTGGGAAGAAGTTACCAACCAGTCAGTAATGCTGTTGTAATTCATCTTGAAATAAAGTTTTTAGGATGTTTTTGCATTTCAGGCTACATTGCAAGATGCATGACCTTTCAGTGCTGGATGAACACCATGGGCTGTTCACTAGAATACTCTTAACCAGCAACTGAATGGACAAGTAGATGAAAACTGCAATATAGGCTCCTTACACCTGTCCGTGTCAAGAGCAGCTGAGGTCTGTCGGCAAAGGACTAAGTACGCAAAATACCTCTACTGTTGTATTTTTTGTGATTTAAACAGTTAGCTGTCTGTTGTAATTAACCTAGCAGATATTCTAAAGACTGTAAAAATGAAGTGGTACGACCTAAAACATTTCACCAATATGCTGATGAATCAGTATTCCTTAAAAAGAAGTGTATCCTACTGACATAACCAAAACAAACTGTACACATTTTAAAAATATTAGTATTACCACATTAAAATACATAAGAGCTACTGCCAGAGCACAAATCCCTCAGCCGTTAGCACTTTGTTGCTCCATATATCAAACTGCTGTCGCACCAAAGACAGTGAATTCCATTACTAAGATTGTATGATGCTGGGCTGCATACAACTATGGACAAAACGCAAGGAAAAAAATGTGGAATTTAATAATAATAAAAAATATTTACATTTGAAGTGTTTAGAATGCATCTTTATCTATTTGAAAAAAGTGGGGTTTTCCAGCATTCTGCTAGTTGATGATGAAAAAGATGTATATATTTTATACACCATCTATTTATTATACTGTATTTTTCTCTTCATCACTTTTCACTCCATTTGCTTGCAGGGGATACGTCCATCAGTTACATTTTAATATGGTCTATATCCAATAGTGTTTTAAATAAACTGCTATAGCTGCTTGTATAAGTAATACAAGACAAATCTGAAATCTAAGCTCTGGTAATTATTAAGAAATAGTGCAAGAGTCAGACATCAAACCAGAAATCAGTGTATGATGCAGAACAAGCATTCTGGATGAAACATTTTTTTCCTGTTGGATCATATTATGGCATTTGATGAAGTCCATACAGTCATCTGCAGAATGACTTCATCAAAGATCAACTCAGTGTAATCTCTTGGCAGAAAGAAAGCAGAATTTGAGCTATTTGGTTGCGACTGTCCTGAATCACACTTCAAATTTGCAACGGTAGCCTTTCTTTAGGATAGGTCTTTAATTAACAGCATTAATATTCAGTATGCAAAGGCAATTAAGACCTTCCTCTCTTTTGCAGAGTCAGCACTTACCTGGTTATTGGGTTTCGCCTGGCTTAATGACTTTATAGTCACTACGGCACAAACCTCCAGCAGGATTTTCAGTATTTGGTTTGGTTTATCCTTGTTTGTTGAGGCTGGCAGGATTCCCTCGATCCCCAGTGGCTGTTACTAGCCTGCCTAGCATTTTTTGCCACTGCTATTGACTGAAGAGGGTTTTAGAGGTCTTTCATTTTGTAAGAGAGGAGGAGTCCACTGCAGACTGTGTCAAAACCTTGCCTTTTTTGTACATTAGTATAGGCAGACCAAGATGGCTTTACGGGAAAGAGAAAGCTTTACAAATACATGTAACTAAAGGCATTTTCTAACCTTTCTGTCTGGAAAAAATCAATCATCTTGTGTACCAGAGGAAAAATTGTACTATTTTTATTGAAGATTATAGGCACACTTCTAGTAAATCCTTCAGAATTTTCAGTTTAATTGGAGCAATGTAGGCTTCTCTTGCAATGGAATAAAAAGTTTATTTCTCAGAAGCATCATCTGTTCCTCTCTAGCTGAAAGCATTAAAAAGAGAAAGGAATCTGAAGCAGAGACCTGTAGGTTATTTAACCAGCTGCTGGAAAGTTCCTTTAACTGTAAACCTAACTCATTTCAATCTTTTCACTAATGGAAAACTGCTATTGGTATACCTTCCCTTTGAAAGTATAAACAGGAAAATATTCTATCTTTACAGCACATTTTGTATACTTGCCACTTCACACCTGACAAACTGAAATGCACACATCTTAATAGGTTCTTTTATCCTATAAGCTAACTAGTATTTTCCACTCTTCTGATTTTTAGGACTGTTTCAATCTTCCCTTGAATAATATATTTCCTTATGAACTTCCAAGTTACTATGTTTCAGTAACACAAGTAATCACCATACTGTGAAAAAGAACTAAAGAAAACCAAATTAGAACTGACTATTCAGTATCTAGTGTACTAAAAATACCACAGAAATCAAGCTCTGCAGAATAATAATACAGGAAAAAAATTTCATAAAGCTACTACAGGGCATGATATCAAATTGTCTCTCCAGAGAAGCCCTAAGAAACATATGACATTTTGTACTGTATTAATCTCACAGCTGCATCTGACCAAAAAAAAAAAAAAAAAAAAAAAAAAAAAGAAAAATGAAACAAAACAATAGATTTATGAAGCAGAGAAATTATATTTAGAAATTTTGATGGTGTGAAAGTGAATCAATTGCCTGTGTTAAGTAAAATTTAATGGTGGATTATAGCTCATGTAGCTGTTACCGAAGTATTTAATTAACTTATCCTGAAATAATGTGCTTTAACGTAAAACAGGGACTTAAAAGCAGAAAAAAAAAAAAAAAAAAAAAAGATAAAATAATATTAAATAATTTCTGAGATGTTTGTACTCATCAATTCTGTTTGTTCAAGACTGCTTTACAGAGTCAGAAGACTAAATGGAATTATTAATCAGCAGTAACTCTGTGTCTTTAAGTCATTGCCTCTACAAAACCACTCAGCAACGGGTTCTGCCTGAGGCTTATCTGGTACCTGATGAAATTTTGATACGTTTTGATATGTTTTACCACCAGTGTCTTCTGCCAAAAAGATTTCTCTAAAGATAGATATACCACATAGTGACTAGTCAGGTTAACATGTTTAATTGACTAGTTCAGAAAGAGAGCTAGACTACAAAATGGGAGTAGAAGGCAAGACAATAGCTCAATATTTAATGCCATTTTAATATAAAAGCAGAGGTGGAAATAACAAATTAGGATATAGTATGATAAAAGAACATGAGACTGAAGCGTGGGGAAGAAAATTAATGCAAGGAGGTTTAGATTGGTAGGTGATGCAGCAAGTTCTAAATATCTAAGGGGCGGGTGTCAAGAGGATGGGGCCAGGCTCTTTTCAGTGGCACCCAGTGACAGGACAGGACGCAACAAGCACAAACTGGAGGACGGAAGGAAGTTCCAACTGCATATGAGTAAAAACTTTACCCTGAGGATGGCAGAGCACTGGAACAGGCTGCCCAGGGAGGCTGTGGAGTCTCCATCTCTGGAGATATTCAAAACCCACCTAGATGCAGTCCTGTGCAACCTGCTGTAGGTGACCCCGCTTTAGCAAGGGGTTGGACTAGATCTCCAGAGGTCCCTTCCAACCCCCACCATTCTATGATTCTGTGAAGTGAAAGGTTTATGCTTAGCGCACAAATTGTGTGCTGGCAGCGCAAAATAAATGATGCATTGTTCACCGATCACTGCACAACAGCATGGAGGAACCAGAACCTCTAGAACACCTCATGAAACTAGATATTCTAAAAATAGAGGAAAGAACAGGAGTAACTGAACATCCATTTTGCTGTATGAGAAGTAAAAATACAGTAGCTTTATGAAACCTGCCGAGGATACACATAGGGGTTTTTATTTCTCCATGTTCTTGGGCCTACTCCACAACCTTTTCCATTCTGTCATATCCTTATCAAGGCACGGAGACTAGAAACAGTCACACTATTCAAAGTTTAATGTACTTAAATTAGAAAGTCTGAGTAACGTCTGTTTCCATGTTCCAGAATAGAACTGGCCATGAAAGGGTAACACAGATGATAATCTGAGGTTTGGAATGTATCTGCAGTGATACCCTATGACTGGTAAGAAATGTATTATAAATCTTTCAGAAAAGGAAAAAAGAATCCAAGAAACCGCAGAACACCTGATCAGACTTCTATACTATGTAAAGGTTTCATGAATGAAAGCTGAAACACATGCAGGTAAGCAGAAAGTAATACTATTTGATGTTGTTTTACAATGAAGATAAACATGTAATTAATTTGAAAGCACCTGATATTGCAGCACATACAAATGTAATAAAACCACAGAAGACTACCACTAGAATGAAATTTAAAAAATACTGAATAATGCTTAAAAGGGAAATAAAATTTGGAGAGAAATTGCTAAAAAAAAAAAAAAAAAAGGATTACTCATGAGCTTTCTCTTAGACAAACTACTAAATATTTCCACTAACTAGATTGTCAGAAAAAGTCCCAATGAACTATGCTGACAACAAAACTGGGGGAAGCTGTGAATAACAACAAGATTTAAATAGGCAGGAAGAAATAAAAGAATGAGAAAGGCCTGTATGTTTGTTTGATTAAAGAGGACAGTGAGCACAGTCAGTCACAATGAAAAGGGGAAGTGTGGTACTGTTACAATATTTGAGAGAGGTTCTTAGGACCAAAAAGAAAAGTGCTAATGATACAAAAGGCACTGACAAGAGCTCATCTAAAATACCATGTTAAATTCTAGTCACCCCCGTGCAAGAATATTAAACGCAGACTAGGGGATGTGAGATACAGGTTTGCTGAATGCAAACTCTTACAAAAGCAGATAGAAAGTAGTTGACTTGTTCTGATTGTAAAATAAGAGACAAAAAAAAAAAAATCTACTTAAGCTAAAGGGCATTCTCCCCATCAGGGAAAATGAGTATGAACTTTCCATGAATTAATTTAGATTGAAAGCTTGATTTCTAACTACAAAACAAGAGTAGCTAAAGAGACCAAAACTCCCGAATAGTTCTAAAACAGACCTTTAAAATACCTAAGTATTTTAACTGGATTACAGAACCTGGTTCCTGCAACTACAAGGGGAAATACTAGATAACTCAAGAAGTTGAACTCTGCTGTACTTCCATGGAAATGTATTTATCAAAATGTTTCTATGAGTAAATGCATGTTTTGGAAAAAGTTCCCCCACTAACAAAGATATAGGGAAAATGCTTTTTTTTCCTCTATTGAAGTAACATGATGAGGGGATTGATGCATGAACTCCGGTCTGATGGATCGAAGACTCTTTATTATCAGAAAGCTGCGTTTACATAGTTTTGCTAAGCGTACGCACACTGTCCACGCGCTCTTTTACACGTGATAATTGGTTACTACTCTCTGTCCATGCGCCTATTCTCTACGTTTCATTGGCTGCTATTTTGGAGGCTCATGTTCCTCTCATATCTAACGGTCCGCACCTGTCTTCTTCCCTGTTACCTTTCCTTACTCGTATTCAAGGCTCAGGGCAGAAACTGCCTGAATCCTATTAACTCTTTCCATCTCTTCTCTTCTCTCCTCGTTCCTCCTCAATGCAACAGTGCCTGGCCGGCTTCCAAAGGCCTCTGACTTACTCCTACAGTAGCAGATCTAGGGTTTTCAGCAAATCACAACTAAGTCTCCCGTGTTAGCATGATCTCCTGAGAACTACTGCATGAAGTTTGAGGCATTGAAAACAAATGTAGAGAACCTGTAGCAGACAGTAATCTGGCTGAACAGAGGTCTATCAGACAACCAAAAAGAGTGAGCTTGAGGTGGTTTAGTTCAATGAAGACAATGCCAGAAAAATAAAATGGTCAGAGTCTTCTAGGATATACAAAAGCTATTTCAAAGCTCAAGTTAAACAGAATTGTTTCCAGATTTACTGAGACAGAACAGGAAGTAACAAGTATAAACTACATCAAGGAAAGTTATATAAACATTTTAGAAAAATGCTTTCCAATGGTGAGAATGTACAGTACTGAGTTTTATTTGCTTGGGAGTATGTAGTCTGAGGTTTTAAAGATTATGCAAGACACATCTGTCAGGAATAACTGAAGCTCATATCTTGCCTTGAGGCAGAATGATAAGCAAAGGACCCTTTCCATTTTACTACCTATGATACGGTGTTTTGGATTCTGGGAAAGGAAATTACTAATTTTACCAAGAGATCAACTAAGGAAAAGAGCGCGTGTTTGAGCATGCTGACAGAATGATATCCCCAACTATGGGAAGCAGTAATCAGTCAAGTTTCAGGACTGACTGTTTCAGATTCTTGGGTACCTCAGATGTGAAAGCCTGGCCCTGTATCTGCCAAAGAGGTGTCTGTTACAATCACAGCTGAACAGGGATCAGCTTTTTGGGTTGACACTGGTGTAGGGCTATGTAGTGTTTCCGTCTAGTGCAGGAGGTAAAGGAGCATGGCAGCTTAGAAAACAGTATTAATTTTTACTACTTATGTTAAACAGACACTAGAGCCAAGATGAAAGTTGTGTTTTGAAGAAAAAAGGAATATGAATTAGTTTAGGATGGGTTAAGATATTCTGGCACACAGCCCAAAACAAAACTGCAGTCCGTACAAAACATGTCATCTTAAAGACAACATGATTTTCTAAACTTGATTTTCATGTACCTTTCCTTGAAATCATGTGCAACAATATTCTCTATTACAATACGTGTAATAAATTTGATATTTATAGATGTCCCTTCCAGGTATTTATCACTTTTTGCTGGAAGACATAGACCAAAAATTTTAAGTTCCTTCTGATGAAACAATAAATTGGAAAAAACAATCACATACGGAAAGATTTTGCATGTCCTGCAATTTTAGAGTTGTCTCTATTTTCTTCCATATTCTTATAATTTCTTTTCAAGGTTTACTCCATTCTGCAAACTGTCATTCAATATGTAATCCCGTGTTTTCTTTCACCATTTCTAGGTCTGTAGGGAATCACCTCTGTCAAAAGCTTGACTACAGATTTATTCTCTATGTGTCCTGTCTCCCATTGTTCCCTCGAGACTTCAGGCTTAATATTCGGGAATCGTATGGATAGCCTTTTCTTCAGCAAAATGCAGTCTGGCAAAGCCACTCTCAAACACCAATCCACTCCCTAGCATCTAAGGAGGGTAATACCGCTCGTTTTAATATGAGGATTGACAAAAATAAAATTACCAGAATTCATTCCCCTCTTCCTTATTCTTCCAAATGGATCACAAATATTTAACAAATTTAATTTTATTTTGCAAAGCTATACAGAAAGATTATTTTATCTATTATTCTTATTTTACTCAGATCTGGAAGGTAGCACTTATGTTTGTAATTAGATTAAAGCATTGCAGTATTTTGCCCCCTTTTGTGAATTTAAGAACAAAAATAATTGTCCCACTGTAAAACAGCGCTGGAAACATACCTTGCCAGATTACAGATTTTCTATGCTAATTCCAAAAAAACCCCACTGCTATTTAGAGGTCTGAACTTAGTCTGATTGATTTTAATTTAAATCAGTCCGTAGAAGTTGTAGGTCTGGCTTAAAACCTAAATCAACAAGGTCTTACAAAAGTTCTGCCCAAGTACTAAGCTGATACAGTATTGGTCACCTTGATAGACTTGACAGGATCACAGCCCAAAAAAGTATGGTGTAGCAATTTTATAAATAGCAAAGTACTGAGTTCAATCAGAACAAAACCCATTGTAACAGTATTTAATACGTTATACGATAAATTAATTTGTCACTTAACCACACCACCACTCTGGACAGTCTGGATGCATCAGAGCATTCATTCCATACCCTGGGTAGCAGCAGTCAGCCCACACCATTTGTAGAGTACTCCATGTCATGTAGTTCAGGCAACAGTTCAGAACTTCTCCTGCTAACTCCCACTTGTTGCTTAGAAAATGTCTTTATAAGGTGTTTTGCCTAAATGGAAACAAATAATATTATTTCAGAATCTTTGATGGAAAGCAGTCAGAATACAAGAAAAGACAAAAGAATGTGAGTATGAGTTAGGATCAAGATTTAAAGGATGTACAACTAAATCTTTTGATTGTAGCTGAATGGAAACAGGAAGACAATCTGATATTCATAGATAGGTTTGGTTTAGTTTGGATAAACCTTGATCAATGAATGCAATGTCTTTGAAAGTGTTCAGGATTATACAAATAGAACTTTAAAAGCTAATCCATGGCAATTTTGCCTACTTTGGACATCTGTAGCCCAACATCAACAGACTTGCAGCTTTCCCATCTACAGAGGTACTATCACTTAGGTCCACTTTCTCTCAGACATCTTTATTAGCTATTTCTGTTCAATAAAAAGAAACGCCAAAGGTCTCCTGAAGCCAAGTTAAATAAGAGGATTATTATTACATCAATCAAATATAATCATGGAAGACTAATTCCCTTACTCAGAAAGATTTGCACAAATACAGTCCTAGATAGGAAAAACTTTCCTTTCGATCAGTGCAGAACCAGAAGCACAGAATGCTAGGGTACAAAGGAGCTCTATTCCATCTCATCTACTCCACCTCCCTAGCCAAAGGCAATGTTTATTTTTAAGAATACTTTATTTTCTCTGGAATTTTTGGTCATTTTTTATGAAGTACCTTCCACTGGAATATTAAAGACTTTAAGTCACAGTAGTTAAAATTAAAAATGTGAGTTCTAACTAAAATATATAAAATATGTAAAAAAAATAGTCCCATTAGTGATCTGAAAGTCTAACAGTAAAAAGTATCAATGCCTCATATCCAGAGAGTCCTTCATGTGTATACAGGGATTAATTATATACATAAAGCTAAAAAGAAAGGGAAAAAAAAACCCACTTTAATAGGCTTGCAAGGTTCAGTACACACACAAATTGGCAAAACTAAATTTATTCATGCTTTCTTAATTTGATCCTCTTGTCTGTATGAAAAAGATGAACTTTGATCATGATTTTTCCTCACAAATTTAGGGGTTTTTTTCAGTGGACAGGATGGAAGCTGCTTAATGAGCACAATGTTATTTTAGACTCCCTCACTCTTCCACTGGAATCCCAAAGCCTGATTTCCATACCTGCTGTTTCTGGGTATTCCTCCTGTACTTCCCTTCCCCTTTCTGAACCTCTGAATTAGAAGTCAACCTAGTAAGCAAGAATCTGGCTTCTGGTTCCCTACTGTAAAAGCCAAACACCATCAAGCAGCTAAAATTCTGCCAGATCAGTAATAAAATAACTTTGAATTGATGGAAAGGCATTCCCATTGCAAAACAGCATGTTTGATATTTATAAGACAGCACATGTTCAAAGTTTTCCAATTGCCTTGCCACTTTTCATACTCTTAACATACCATCTTTTATATAGACCAATAGGGATCTGCCTTGTCCATAAAGGCGATAGAATATTAGCAATTTTAACTGATACAAATTTTATATCCACTAAAACTTTTATATCAATTTATTAATTTGCTACAGTGTGTCTCATTCTTATGTTACTATACTTTATCGTGAGAGTAGTTTATTATGTTAGTTGCCTTTTTATTCTTCCATCTGCTGTACCTTGTGTAGTCTATGAGACACATCACAAGCACTTTGCTGACAGACTGTTGTGTTTTTCTGTCTAAGGAAGCAACTGTAACAAACCACAATCTGTTTATAAAAGAAAAGTCAATTAAGTCAACATTATTTTTTTTTATTTACCCATTTAAGATTCTAGTCAGTTCTGATGCAAGTATTTAGGACTTCTTACCATATTGCAGATGTCTAACTTGCTATGTTTTGAAGAAATCACAGAGCTTGTCCTCTTATAGATATTGCGTGTCTATATCTAATTTTCAGTATACTTCAATATTTTATGGGACTGTCATTTATTTATAAATTCTAATGGCAAGGAAATGTATAATTCTGGACTCTTCCCAGATTTATAAATATCTGAATCCTTTCAAAAAGAAATAAGCTACTCCCTCTTTAGTTAACCTGCCTGCCGTTATGCTTTTATGAAGCCTCCAGTTTTAAAAGTCATCCAGGAACCCTAGCAGTTCCAGCTTCTGACTATTCCTGCAGCGGACTCAAGTTTTCTCTCAAGAACAATCAATCAGGGCAAGATCTAGTGCTTTTAAAGATTTTCCTGCTTCCCACCCCCTGCACAAACACATCAGTTCCTGACCCTCACCCACTGAACCCTTTACATTCTCATGGGAATGCCTATGGCACATAGAACCAAAGGAAGACTTCAAGTAGGACTGAAGAAAAAGTATCGTTACGTTTCAGTAATCCACTTGCATGGGTCCACAGACTCTTACGAACTGACTAGTACTAACATGTTATGGTGAAGACCTGGGAAATAGTTAACCAAGCTGCTCAACTGCTCTCCAGAACGTAACATTAGAGTAAGCTGCCATATTAAGAATAAAATTATCTGATAACATGTGAATTTAACTCCTTATACTATAAGCTTTTACCTACCTCTTCACGGAAGTAATTCTGAAACACCAAATGCTACTTAGAAATCAAAAAGTACTTTCTGAGACTCTGTGCAGCTTTGGGCCCCTCATTACAAGAAGGTCATTGAGTTGCTGGAGCATGTCCGGAGAAGGGCAACAAAGCTGGTGAAGGGTCTAGAGACCGTCCGTACTTGAAGGTGGGGGTCAGTCTCTTCTCCCAAGTAACAAGCAATAGGACAAGAGGAAATGGCCTCAAGTCATGCCAGGGGAGGTTTAGATTGGACATTAGGAAAAATTTCTTTACTGAAAGAGTGGTCAAACATTGGAACAGGCTGCCCAGGGAAGTGGTGGAGTCACCATCCCTGGAGGTGTTCAAAAAACATGTAGATGTGGCACTTCAGGACATGGTTTAGTGGGCATGGTGGTGTTGTGTTGACAGTTGGACTTGACAATCTTAGAGGTCTTTTCCAACCTTAATGATTCTATGATTCTTGTTGCCCTTGATGTCCCTGGCCAGATTTAATTCTATCAGGGCCTTGCCTTTTCTAACCTGAACGCTGGCTGCTCAGGCAGTTTCTCTGTATTCCTTCTAGGCTGCCTGCCCTTGCTTCCACCCTCTGTAGGCTTCCTTTTTTTTTTGTTTGAGTTTGTCCAGGAGCTCCTAGTTCACCCATGCAGGCCTCCTGGCTTTTTTGCCTGACTTCCTCTTCATTGGGATGCATCGCTCCTGAGCTTGGAGGAGCTGCCTTGGGTCCCTCTTCTCTCTAGGGCTGTATCCCATGAAGAGGCCAAAGTTTGCTCTCCTGAAGTCCAGGGTAGTGAGCTTGCTGAGCACCCTCCTTCCTGGCCTAAGGAAGTTATTGTGCTCTACCATGTTTCTGAATGAGCAATGGAATGCATTTTGAATTCAAGAGCAGACATAGTTCCTTCTGAAGGCAATAGGAACTCTTGCCTACATCTCCACAAGAATAAAATAAAGAAAAGGAGAGCTAGTAATGAATAAGTGACATTGCATTTACAATCTTTCACTTTATCAAAGACCTTTTACCTGCTGACAGAAGGAAATTTAATCAGAACAGGAAAGAATAAGGTACAAATACTACATCATTAAATGATATGTACTTAAACACAATCAGGTAATAATTAAGGCATTAACATGTGTGAAATAAATCCAAATGGCTGTGCTAAAATTAATCTCAAGGAATAATTCCACTTAAAATCATACTATTTTAATTTTATTAAGTATTACTGTCTATTCAATTTGTTACATTTCATTATGTTTTATGTTTCTTTTTTAAAAAAGAACCGTATTCACTAGTTTCTCAGTCAGCCACTAAGCTTCATTTATGGCTCTGTAAGTGACATTAAATGAACTGCCTGGTCGTAACCAATATTGACCACACATATCTTAGGGCTTTTACTTCAGACCAGTCCTAATCTGGTTTTACAGACTGAGCACATTATTTCTTAAAGCAAACCTTTCCAATAGCTTCATCCAAAATGAATCCACTTTGTGCACTCAAAGACCAGGCCATGATCCAAACAAAATGTGGTAATGGGTACAATCAAGCAATTCACTTCAAAGTCACGCTCTTATTCAAACTAACATCTAACTGCAGATGCATGCTGATTTTCCTGGCATATGATTTTATGAAAGATATTGGGAAAAAAATAGCTTTATTGAAGTGCATCTTTTTACATACTTGGCAGGAGGGTGTAGGACAACTATGTTCCTCAAGAAATTATTTAAGCTTTTGATTAAATTAATTTTGTCATATATATATATATCACAGTAGAGTCCGGCCAATGGGCTTTTCAGAAACAGATTTTTCAGACATTTAGAAGCAGCTACCAATCCACATCATAAATACTTGTCTTCAGATTAAACTACTGAGCATGTTCAAACTTAAATATGCAATACCTAAAGATGTCCAAATAGGTAAATACAGTGAGAAGTTATATATGCACAGAAACAAAAGCTAACACAGTATATAATAAACTTGTTCACCTGAAAAGTTTCTTAGGAATGAAACATGCTCTGGTTTGTAGTCAAGGCAGGACTACAGACAGGACAGTCTCTCAGGAAGCAAGTATGTCATGTTTCAGTTATAAGGGTAGCATGAATATACAGATATACACATCTAAAAAACAGCTTCACATTTTTTCTGATTCTCTTTCCTTCTCTCTCCACAGAAGAGCTGTTTGAAATACTGTCTGCATTTAGCCTGTATCCAGGGCTAAGCTGTAACAGTTGCTCTATCACCCAGTGACCCCTCGCCAGCCAGGAAGGGGAATCAGGAACAGAAGAGGAGACCCATGGGTTGAAGTGAAAACAGATTTAATGAAACAGCACTAACACCAACAAAGGTGTACACAGTTATACTCAGCCAAGTGAATACACAGTGGTCACAAGCAACAGCAGAGCCATCCTCACAAGCAGGGGCAAGCCAGAGGAAGAACCCCACAGGAGCTCCCCTTCCTCAGCCAACCTTCCCCCTTTATAATGACCATGCCATGATGGGATGGGCTACCCCTGTAGCTCACTCAGGTCAGCTGCCCTGGCTGACTTGGAACTGCTGATGGCCTGTCTGGCATGGCTGGGCTGGGATTCTCTCCCAGCCAAACCAGGACATATATCAATAGTAGGTTTTAGAATGTCTGGGGTTTAGCTTGCAGTTGAGAGGTTGAGTGCAGGTATTTAGTCTGTCAGTTGCTTTTTTTTTTACAAAACTATAGTACACACTTTTTTCAGCCCTCTGAAAAGATAGTCACAGTCTTCTGACACAAATATTCTTTCTATGTGTACATTAGGTGGCAGTGTGTATGAAACGCAGTAACTTCCCTGTAAATCCAAACTCCTAGGTTCATTTTCACCAAACTAGAATAGGCCTAGTCCAATGTTTCCATTTGGAAATAAAGATCGAAATGCTTTCTCTTTTCTGTTCTACTTAGCTGTTCAGAACACCATAAAAAATTCTGGTTTATGCAATAAACTTTAAGATCCAGCATATAAGAAGTAATTATTTTGAAGCTTTTTTCCTCCACTTGATATTTTGAAAACCTCTTACGCTCAAACAACCCAACAACTGTTTAAAAACTTCAAAATACAATTTCCAGATCTTACTACAAAAGAGGCACTATGTAAAGTGAAGAAAAATGACTTGCTAATTTTAAAGTTGTAACGATTTTAAATTACATTTTGTGCAGTATTTAATGTTTCATTACTCTTTCAACTGCACATAAATGGACTGAAACTATCTGTGAACAAAGCTGCTTGTTCGAGAACCAGAACTGCTTTTTAATGGCTACAGAAAGAAAAGTGTTTACTGCTATTTGTGAGCTTTTACTGTACTTATGATGTTTGATGTATATAGCTAGACAGGCTTTTGGGGCACAAAACCCTTCTCAGAGTGTGTGTCAAGGCCTGGTGTGCCTGGAAGAGTATCTGATTTTTCTAACTATGACAGATAGTACAACGAAAGACAGGTTCTCTTCCTACAGATTTTATGCTTAAATAATTGCATTTATTTTGAAATGTTCCAAGAAGCAGTATTTTGTTAGTCTTTCCTAAAACTCGATTCCCAGTTCTACGTTTCTACTGAAAGGATTTTTTTCTTTCTTAGAACCACAGTGACAAATATGATATAATGTGTCAAGCAAGGTTTATGAATCCTAATTTCCCACTGTTATGGACATTCGCTATGATAGATATTAGAAGACTAACTTGTCACACCAAAACTCAGATAATTTTTACCACTTAGAGAGGATTATACCCATGCTAAAAGGAGGCCAAGTGATCAGATTCTTTTACACAGCAAACATTTCATGAGCTAGAAACTTTAAATAGCTTTTTGCCTGCTTATACTTTCTTTGAGTAAAAAAAAAAAAAAAAGATTGTGACAACAGCCCCAGAATACTAAGAAATATCTTTGTAGTATTTACCCAAAAATTCTAGTGGCTAAAGCTGAAATCCTCTCATTACCACTTTTTAAAAATAATTTTTCTAAAACCTCTCTCCCTGTAGAGTTATGTCAGGAAAACACAAGTTTTCTTCTCTTACCGAAATGGTTTTTTGCCTGCCTGTTGCTGATTCTAGTACACCTGAAGTTACCACCAAGCCAAGAACCCCTGCCACCATAGCTTTTTCACTAGTAAACCAAGGTTGGCATAGCAACTTGGGATACTACTGATGCAATCTGCTGTAAGAGATTTAAACCTGTCAACTGGAAGAAGTCTGAGGTCTCCGTGGTTTTCTGTTCCAGACTTCTGAGTAAACAGAAGCCAGAGGAGTGAAACGGGTAATTTTTGTTAATTGTGAATCAGGAGGTTGTCGTCTGTCTGATCAGATTAAGCTCAGTACTTAAACACATGACCATATACTCGATACTGTGTCTGTCACGCATCATAGACTGGGCATCAAAATATATCAGTTACAATGCAGAACACCCAGCTAACCAGAATATATCCATCCCAAGGAAAATTAGTAGTTTCATGTAAAACACCATCGCCCACAGGCTTAAGTACAAGCAAAACCACCTATACCACTTTGAGGCAAAGAATGATAAAAATTCAGAGGGCAACGTCCGTTATCAGATTCGGAGCAAAAACACAGTGTAGTGTTAGATACCATATAAATGTGAAATGCTCTGCTATGAAGGCTGACATGTAGAGGATTAAGAATGAAGAATCGCTATGGTCTAAATGGTATTTCAGATTGTGTAACATGAAAATATAAGACCAATGACAGAGTTCTGATAGACACTAGTATAGACTAAGAGGAAAGCAAATAGGATTTGGAAACACTGCCATTGTAAAAGGATGAATGGTTCATAATCTAAATTGTAAACTAAAATAAGAGATTAAACAGCTTTATAAATTCATCACAATGCTTATTTTCTTTTTAAAAATGAAATTACACTAAAGGGTAAATGAGACATACACGGAAGGAAACAGAACAGAACTCAGGTTCCCTGCTTAGAATTGGAAAGATATTGCTGATGAACCGGTCATGATCTCTAAGCAATCCTAATTGTATGAGAAAAATAACGTACATACAAGTAGCCCAACATACTCCAAGCAGAAACAATGATTTGGGGTTTTCATGCCACACTAGCAGATTAGGACAATGATTTCATTAGAGGCATCTTTCTGAAAAAGAATGCTTAAATTCTCCACAAGCATATTAACCAGAAGCTGAAATGGCAAGGGATGTGAAGGGCCGACAGAAACACATGCAATTGAGGAAAGGCAGTAAAAATGTTGGCCCCATGCTGAATGGGACTGAATCACCTAGTGACAAATGACATGGAAAACTCTGAGGTACTCAGTGCCAGCTTTGTTTCACTCATTCCTAGCAGGGGCTGCTTTCCAGCCCTGCCCCAGGCTCTATCACAGTTTAGGGGAGATGCAACAGGGAGAGAGAAGCTTTAGGGACTTACTTAAATGAGCTAGACATATAAAAGTTTATAAACCAGAGTGAGATATATCTGAGGATGTTGAGTGATTAATGACTGTTGTCTGCTTTGATGGTGATGAGATCCCCAATGACCAGAAAGACCAAAAAAATACATCTATTGTAAAAATAGGCAAGGAAGAAGACCCAGAGAACCACAGTTCAGCCATCCTCACCTCAGGACCTGCAAAGATGACAGACCTGCTGGAATTCATTTCCAGATGCTTGAATGACAAGACACTGATTCAGAACAGGCAGCATCAAATTGCCATTGGCAAATCATGGCTGACCAGCCTGAGTGTCTTCTGGAATTAAATGACTGCCTCTGAGGATGAAGAGAAAGCAGCAGATGTCATAAACACTGAAAGCCTTTAGCAAGGATTTCACTCTGTTCCTCCATCACATCCTTGTACCCCAATTATGGACATGTGGACTAGATGAGTAGAATACAAGATGGATGAAAAACTGTCTGCATCTTCATTTTGAAGACTGGTCTGCCTAGCAGCCTGTTATGAAGGGCTTTCCTCAGGGCTCATAAAAGCACCAGAACTGGTTAACATCTTTACCAGTGACCTACACCACAGGACTAAATGCCTTCTTGTCCAGTATGCAAGAGACATCAAATTGGTGGGTGGGCTGATACACTATAGGACATTGCTGCCATTCAGTGGGAACTTGCACGACTAGAGAGACAGCCTGCCAGAAACCTCATAAAGTTCAGCAGTGACAAATGCAAAGTCCTGCGCCTGGGACAGAATAAGAGCAGCAATGTATGCTGCTGGGGACCAGATGACTTGGGAGAAGACCGTGAAAAAGAACCTGGGAGTCCTGGTGGATTTTAAACTGAATATGAATCAGAAGCACACTTTTGCAGCAGTGAAGGCTAACTGTGTACTGGGATGCATTAGCCACAGTATATCCAGCAGGTATACTGGATCACTGAAGTGATTATTCCCTCCCTACTCAGCACTCATTTGGGCACTCTGGAACACTGTGCCTGGTTTTAACTCCTCAGTAAAAGATTGGAGCACGTCAACAGGAAGGTTTCTGAGATGACTAGAGAGTTGGAGCATAGGACAAGAGGCTGGGATTTTTACCCTAAAAGAGTCTAACATGGGAATTGTAGTCCTTCACTACCTAAGGGGAGATACAGGGAAGAATAATCCCTACTTTTTAGGAGGTGCACCACAAAAGGACAAGCAGCAATGATGGCAAGTTGCAATAAGGGAAATTACAATTGAAAATAAGACAAAAAAGAGGAACAGGTTGCACAGAAGAGACATAAAATCTCCAAGGATAGAGATTCCCCAAACTCAAGTGGTCAGGGCCCTGAGCAACTTCATATCTGAAGGTAGCCTGTCACTGAGCAGGCAGTTGGGCTAGATCACACTGCCTATCATCCTATTATTCTGTCCTTGCAGAATGCTCCCAGCTGTCTCAGTGCCAAAGGAAAGTCATCCTCAGCCTCTCTTGCATCCAACATGCTCTGCACCATCTAGGACTCTTTAGAGATGGCACCATTCTCTACAGAGACCTGCAAATGCATTTTAGTTTGGTTATCCCACCCCTTTCGTTCTGAAAAGTGAAAATTAATTTATATGATATACATACAAACACTCACAGTGTATCCTCAGTTATTTCTCCATTTACATTCCCACCTTTATAACCCTCATGCCTCTTTGGGGGCAGCAGGGGAGAAGGGGAGAGGGTGCAGGGCCACATGTAAGGAAATAAATCCCTGAAGAAAGACCACCATCTGGTCCATTCTACTGCAATATTGGATCAATCAGTTTTAAGTTTCACAGAGATTTGACAGACAAAATACATGGACTGTTGTGATTCAGCTTGATATAAACGTTGACTGAAAAAAAAATTATCATTAGCATCAAGTGTTTATCAATGGTGTCCTAACAGTTAGCTATATAAATTTCAAGAGTGGTTCAACAATGATCTGGAATGGAGTTCTAATTTTGGGACTGGTTCTGTTAACTCTAACAACAAAATGAAATACTGAATAGACAGCAGGTTTGTTTTCTCCAGAAAATAAAAGATAATTCTTCCCAGTTCTAGGCTTATCTGGTTGTGTAAACAAGGACCACAGTGCACTGTAACATCCTCCCGAATGGATTATGTCCCTTAGGAGGTTCTCACAAGCACGGGCTTCTGCAGTGTTCAACTGGTGTCCAACACACACATGGAGGGAGTGAAGTTGCAGTATGTTGGTCCAGGATACTCAGCCTTGAAAGCTTGCTGGTTCCATTCTGTTAGCAGTTGCCTTTTACCAGTGCACAATGTATTTGCTTAAAAAGCGTTTAGTGTTGTAGCTCACTAAATGGTGAGCTGCCTTTTGTTTAATTCAGAGAATGAGATAGGAAACAGAGTAACGTAAGGATTTACTTCAGTTTTTTCCCCAGTAAAGCAGGTGTGTATATCTTGTGTGTGATTGGTAGTACACGGGTGCTTATAGGTCTTCAGTCGTTTCTAGAAACTACAATTGCTGTAGTCATAATCACTTCCGTAACACGCAGGATTTCAGTGTGTAAAATTTATTTTCCTTCCCACTGACATTCTGCAAAGCATTTGTCCTCTTCAGATGTATGGGATGCTAGATATTTATGCTCTAGTGAGGTCTACACTTGAATATACCATGCTCTATATCAGGTTACCCTAATGCCACTGAAAAGCTACAAATAGTATAAAACATTACAGCTACTACAGCGTTTGTGATGTGAAGAATCTGACTAATAATTAAAATTGAATCAAATAAGCAAATTAGCACAATGTTATCATACCAGTGATTATTTCAGATGCCCTACAAGTGGAAAACAGTTTATGTATTTGTTGCAGGAAAGGATTAATGCTCAGGAAAAGGTTTGACTTTTCCATTATGGCAACTGGCGGTAATGCCACCACTGGTTTCTCTCCTCTCCAAGCATGATTGTTCGCATTCATTAAAAAATGAAAAGCCACTTACACTCACATTACAGTATTAAGTTGTTCAAACAGAATAAAGACTTAGATATAACAATTAACACATAAGAATAAGTTCATAATTTTGGTAGTCTTAAGATAGTAGATATGTCAATCCCAGCTAATAATCAGGTTTTTACAGTAGCTTATACTGCAGAAAACAGCAAAATATATATTTTCAATTGTACAACAGTTTATCAAAGAAATAAATGTCATTTACAGGTAGTGTTTCAGTTTTTAACCCTGAAGCATGAAAATTAATATCCATTCTACATATTAATGCAATTGCCAATATGTTTAGTCTTTTTCCATTGCAAATCCTTAATACTTTTCCTCAAAATTTACTAACCAACTGGCTTCAGTAGTAGTCTACTGGGGCAAAATTGCATACATTGCATGTCTCTGCCACTTCACATTTTAGTTTTTATTTCCCCAAGGTTCCCTTGTTCTATTTTATAGCAATACGAAAAAAAATACATACCTGTAATAAAAAGTAACAAAATTATGGTGTCATTATTATCATAACCTGCCAAGATGGTAAATTCTGTCCCACCGCTGTGTATTTCCATGACAGTTTTGTAAGTATGTATCACAGGATACAGAAAGGCATCTGATAGAAAATAATGGTTGAAAAAAATACCTACCAGGTATAACCTTATTCTTCTTGCTTTCAAAATAAAGTCTTACTCTTTTAATTAAAGTTCTTTGCTATTTTTCTTATTTGTTCATATTCTCTCCATTATAAAAATATTTACCTTAGATCCTGATCCAAAAAAAGAACATTTATGTCAGGTATTTTTTGAACTGCAGGATTGTAAAAGTGCATGATTGTATTTAACCAAATTTTGGTGAAAAAAACCCTCAAAATAGAGATGCTGCCCAGCATCTCAAAAGAACACTGGAGACAAACCTGGTGGAAACATTCTATATTAATACTAAATTGCTTAGAAACAGAGTTGGGATAAAACATTTTAATCTTGCCTTCTGACTTTCAAATTGCCCTGTGCCATTCAAGTAGTAGCCATGTTTACAGACATGAGTCAGAATCAGAAGAGAGAAAAAGTGCACTAATAGGATAAACCTTTAGACCACTCAGAGCCATTAATTAACATTAAATAATATTATAAGATAAACTACTATGAGAAACCTTTAAAAACAAATTATTTCCCAGAATTGTTTCACCTTTACACAAAAACTAGTATGTCTAAGAATTTGTACCAAAAAAAGGACAGAAAATGTTGTCTTTTAGCTTTCCCCCCAAACAACAGAAGTATCCCTTACAGATACATTACTAGTAAAGCTCTTACTGGAAGACGACTATGAAGAAAATCATGGGGAAGAGTATTACCAAAACCAAGCAGGCAATGTGCATTTACATGAGTAAATACATGGCAACAAGGAACAGCCTGCTCTTTAATTTAATTTTCAGATTTTCCAATAATTGTTTTGCTTAACGAGAAAAGAAAATTATAGTATCATATTCTGGAATTAGATGGATTTAACTTAGAAAGCAATTAACTCTTCTTAATTTTTGTTGCAGACTATAACATAAACTTCAAGCTTCAGGTTCTGTCTACACAATAAGTAAGATAAAGTCAGGATACCTACAGTGGAAGAAAGCAGTATTTTGTAGTAAGAGTCCTAGGTGGAAGAGTACACAGAACGTTGTTATTGTTATAATTACAGAAAATAATTATCTTGGTTTCATAAAAATTGTGAGTAAGAATAAAAAAATCTATTAAAAAATAAATTCCAATAACAGAAACATTTTCTGTGGGATGGCCTATTAAGTATGCACAAGTCAGTACAGAATAGTTATTAATTAAACCACTTAAAACCATTTAAAACAATTCAACACCATGGGACATTATAAAGAAGGGCCTTTTCTTGGTAAAAACAGTATTTTCACTACAATTTGTTACATCACGTTTAGAGAAAAATACCTGTAAATACGACAGATCCCACCATTTTTAAGCTATTGTTTCTTAGCCCTGCACTTCTTAAAAATCCCTTTGAGGGCTGAACTGTTAAAAGATAAATCAATTACATTAATACAACTATTTAATTTATCTGAAAAAGCAAGGAGCATACTTTAGGTTAATCTTCACCCTTTAACAGACTTGTTCTTCAGTTGATATTACGTTAAAATCTGCCTAATGCCTTACACAACGCATGACTATCATTAAGGCAACAAAAAAAAAATGGCAAAGGCCTGATACCAGAAAGAGCATCCTTATTCTAAACAGCACTTAAATATATTGAAAACTAAATTTAAATTTATGTTTTGCAGAAGAACAGTCACATTGTAGATTAAGATTGTCCATAATGAGGAAAATGGGGATAAGCACTGCCCAAAATGAGGAGAGAATTTAGCTGCATTGTTACGATACCCTCAGATGGGGTGTCAATCACTGTGTACACTGATCATTAATTAAGTAATGAACTTGGGTTCTGTCACGATTGTTATTTTCTTAATTTCCCCATGAAATGAAATACAAGGTATTTTATGGTTATTTTAATTTACATTTATTTTAAATAGAAATTAGAAACCTGTTCATAAAGATTGCAAAGCTTTGCAAGCACACAAGGCTTCTGAAAGAAAACAGAAGTGTATTTCAGGTGGGCATTCTAGTACAAGTCAGATCTGAGTTTCTTTTACAGAGTTTCCAGAGACACAGAACTGAAGCCAGCAGAAAGATAACAACGGCTATTAGACCTCTCAGCATTTTGTGTTCTTTGTCTCCACCTCCTGCTTGGAAAGAACATGGGTTACTGGGAGTTAAGGTAAGCTTGTGATTTCTAATTCTTTTGGGGAACCTGGGAAAGAAAGTAAATAGCAAAGGAATAGAAAGTCTTGACGAAAAAAGACAGCAACAAAATACTGAACATATCATCAGTAGCAATTATTTTATGAAGATCAGCTAAATAATTATGTGGCACCAGATCAGCGCTTGTTGCTAACTTAGGTTCAATTTTCAAAAACTAAAAGCAACAACAAATACTCTGGTAAACTGCTTATAGATTAAGGCATTTGTTGGGGGCAATGAGAGAGATGGGGTCAAATGGCAGCTTTGTTTTCATTTATCTTGATTTAAGCAATAATGGGAAATCATCAATTCACCCCATCTATTATACAAATGGTAATTGTACTTCTCTAAAGTGTTGTTATGGAAAACGGAAGCAAGGCAGATTCTCCAGCTATTAGGACAAGATAATCAAGGTAAGTTAAAAGAACTGTCTGTACTTGTCATTTCAGAATGTAAGCAGAGTAGCCATCGAAAATACTTAGAAAGTGGGAAGAAATAAAAACTTGCTTGAGAAAAAAAAAAAAATAGATAATCATAAGAGTAGTCTCATATATGATGGAGTTCTGTGATTAACAGTTTAGTTTACTTTGCAATTGTGTTGGGTTTGTGTCTGGTGGGGTTTTAGTGGTGGGGTTTTGGTAGCAGGGCAGGGAGCTATAGAGGTGGCTCTTGTAAGAGGCTTCAAGAAGCCTCTTCTGGCTCCAAATTCGGACCCACCTCTGGCCAAGGCCAGACCAATGGTGCCTCTGCGAATAACCCTGTTTAAGATGGAAAAAAGCTGTTGGGCAGATTCATTTTTTGTGGGAGCAAGAGAGAAGGGGGATGTGA